AGCCAATACAAGGGAAAAGCGACTTGGAAAACCGACACCAGACCGTGCATTTCTTGGGAAATCGGCCAGGGATGCCAGCGATTATTTTTAAAGCTGGGCTATTTCAGTGGTGTGGTGCGGGCTTTCGGGACAGGGAGAAGAGCGAGCTGGGCTTGGTGCTGAGAGATGGGCAGGGGAGCTGCCACGGGGCACTTTTGTGCTGCTCCACCTGGTTCTCCTTTATATGGCAAAGGGGCAGCCTGTCCTTCCAGCCTGGCTAGGGAGAGAACACTGGAGCACGGAGTCCTCAGGCCTGTGGCCATGACTGGCAGGACAGTTTCTGTTGCCTTGGACTTCAGTCCCAGCGTGGATTTAAATATTTAAGAATCAACATTTTTAGCCCCAATTGGTGCAGCTTGTGCATTGGCAAGGCTTGTTGTATAGGGCACAAAGGTAAAGGTAAAGGTTTCCCCTTGATGTTACGTCCAGTCATGCCTGACTCTTGGGGGCGGTGCTCATCTCCGTTTCCTGACCGAGGGAGCCAGCGTTTGTCCGCAGACGGTCTCCGTGGCCGTGTAGCCGGCGTGACTGGACACCAAAGTGCACGGAACGTGGTTACCTGCCCACCAAAGTGGCGCCTTTCTACCTGCTTGCATTTGCATGCTTTCAAACTGCAAGGTTGGCAGGAGCTGGGGCGGAGCAATGGGAGCTCACCCCGTTGTGCAGATTCGAACCGGCGACCTTTCAATCAACCAGCCCAGCAGCACAGTGGTTTAAACCACTGTGCCACCTGCAGTCCCTGTATAGGGCATAGTAAAACACAATAAAGCAGTTACTGAAAATTAATGGAGAGGGGGAAAATTAATGGAGAGGGGGAATCATGATCCCATGATTGTGGTGCAATTCAAGGCATGTTTAGGCAGGAAAAGGTCCTCTTGTTTCCAGCAAGCTAAGAGTTATAGGACCATGTTTCATGGATAAACATCCCTGCATTTGTGCCCATAGACCCTTAAAATGTTGCAGGTTTCCCTGTTTCTGGCATCTCTGCAGATCAGACCTGGCCTCTGATGGTTCAACACTCCTCCATAGGAAAATTTCCTGCATGCCTGTGTAGGGTTCTTCTTCTACATTTTCTTCGCCAAGTTTTTTTTTTCCCTGAGCATTTAAACACACAAATCTAATCCCTACATATAGACTGAATGGGTACACTTCAGGGAAAGCATTGCCAGTTCATTCTGCAAAGGGTGACTTTATCCGCTGTCTTTTGCAACAGCAAGATATTTATCCCAGCCTTTCTCCAAGGCACCCAGAGTGACCTTGCCTTCTGTATATTTAACACAACACTTCTGGGTTCAGCCAAGATGCAAAGACTAGCTGTGCAGGAATTTGAACTCGGAGCTTCCTGGTTCTAACACAACACTCAAATGACACACACACACAACCCCTTCCACTCGGGAGTGTTGTGTTTGTCTTTGACGCTTCACTTCTATGGGAGAACATGAACAATTAGAGAGAATTCGGTGTCGGAGAGGCTCTGGAGTTTTGGATCTGCAGAGACAAAACGGGGCTGCAGAGCAACGGATTTTGTGTGGCGAGAAGAGCAGGCGTTCCTAGCGGGGGGGGGGGGGCTCTCTGGGAGCAAAAGGCCTGTGCTGTTTTGGGAAGGGGCCCAAGGGGATGCAGCCAGGACGGGGTGGGGGCTGCACGTTTGGTGGTGCCTCCCCCACTCCTGGCTTCCGGGGAGAGAGGGGAGGGGCTGCTATAAGAGCCGGCCATTTGTTTCTGCAGAAGGTCACGCAGCTGCCGCCGGTGGCTCCCTGCCCAGCGTGTCTTGGCATTTCCAATCCTTTCCATGGAAAAATGGCTTTTCAGATGGGTGGCTTAGAAACCACCTCCCCACCTCTCCCTCCGCCCTTCCCCTCTGCATTCTTCCACATCCCCCACATGTCCACAACACCAGCGCATCCTTCGACCTCCCAGTAACATGGGGCTTTCTCCTTCCCTCTGGCAGTGGAGGCAGAGTGGCAGTGGGACTAGCGATGCCGAGGAGCGGGATTGCTGCCTTCCCCGCTGCCCTGGGAGGGGCACGAGCCCTGCCGTTCACTGGGGACAGGTTTGCCCAGAGCAGCAGCTTTGCTGAGTGAATCTGCGCCAGCTCTGTCTTTGCAGCCCTCAGAGACATAACGATGCGTGCGTCCTCTGAACCAAATCTTCAAGAAGTTCCATTTTATTCGCAGGATTTGCTTTTCACGCTTCCCTACCTGCCTGTATTGATTTATTGCATGTGCTTATCTGGCCTGATTTCCTCTTGCGAGAAACTCATGGTGGATTCCACGCAACCTCCTCAGCGCCAGTCTGTTTTAACTGGTGGAAGACGCACCAGCGCTGGGTTGCACCTGAGCGGCACCTGGGCTTGTGTGTGTCTCATTGCACACCTCCACGCTTCTTCAATACCTTAGAGCAGTTCAGCCAGTGGAACTACAGCTCAGGATTGCAACCTGAACAACTTAAGTGCCGTGCATATCCTTTGATCACCAGTGGGTAAAGATCGTGCGGCAACGGGCTCAGAATCACCCTTATGTAAGACGCATTTCATGATCTGGAAAACAGACTCTAAAATCCTTTTGGGCCTGAAAACATGGAGAAGCACAAAACCACAGGGCATAGAGATTGCCAAGTAGCCTGGAAATAAAATAGCTCTGACTCAGATTTTTGTTTTAAGACCAATGGCCAGAAGCACAAGGGACAAGACCAAATGTGTGCAGTGTCTCACCCACGTCTTTTCTCTTTTTGAAAAGCTGTACCCTTTCGGCCTGGATCACCAAAGGTTGCTTGCAGCCACCCGTGCACCCACGAAAGCTTCTCTTTAAGCTGCCTCTTCCAACTTCGATTTTATTTTTAGATTTTCTTTTCCTAATGGGGAAGCTGGCATGTTGTAAGGAGAAGCACAGCCTTGCCTTTATTTGGGGCTGGAAGAGTTGGGTTTTCAGAACTCAAAGCCATCTTTCTGTGTTTTTAAACTTTAGAGCAAGTGATCTTCCTTTTGGTCTCACTGGTTTGGCTTTTCATGGCTCACTTTGCCCATGGGGGCAGCTCTTTCATGGAAGGCCAAGTCCCCACCGCTGGGACCGCCATTTTGTGAGAGCACCCGTGGCACACGTTCAATATCTCCAGCAGGCCCACTGACCCAAAGTGTTGGGGATCCCTGCCTTAGGGCAGGCAAATCCAGCCTGGTCTTCTCTAAGTGGCTTGTCGGCCACTTAGACGCGTGACCAGCTGCAGCAGAGTTTGGGGCCCCCACCCCTCCGTGCTGGGGTTGACTCATCCCACAGCTGAGTCTCCCTCTCCCACCAGGTCCTGACCGCCACTGCTGAATCCACCAACACGCACACACACAGCTCTGCCTTCTTCCTTGTTTCTGGAGCCAGGCGATCTCCAGGCCCTGCCCAGAGCTGGAAGCCCTGTCAGAAGGAAAAATGGCATCCTTAGGCAGGAGACGAGCGGGCAAGTGCTTTCCTGAAGCTTCACTGCATCTTTTCCCCTGCGTGTCCAAAGCTCACAGCCCCTGGTCCTCTGTGCATTTTTCTGGACGTCAGAACTGTTGAGTTTGTTTCTGAAAGTGTTTGTTTACTCTTAAAGTGTATCTTAGATAAAATGTATTACTTCTATTCAGCTTTTCAGTCCCAAGGACATTGCCCAGAATTAAAAGGACAAGTAACAGAGAAACAATACACATTATCATGAAAGCAAAACAGTTCAGAGCTACTTTCAGCAACGAAAACCAGATCCAAAAGAGCAAATTCAAAACCAAGAGCAATAGAATGGTGGAAAGCTGACAGAACTTAATGCCAAAAGAGAAATGACTGACAGATCTTCCCAGTGGTGGGGAGCAGAGCAGGCCACAGTCCTGGGCCCACCACGAAAGGCCCTGTCATGGCTGTGCACATCAGTTCTCACACAGGACTGTGGCCGTCAGTGGAACTTCAAATGTGGGTCCTTAGCGGGAGGCAGGCTCCTGCGGGAAGGGTTGCTTCCTGAGGCTAGCTGGAGCGCGTTCAGCACTTGCATGCCTAAAACCAGTGCATTTAACTGAACCTGGAAGAAAAGCGACAGCAGATGCCATAAGATCAGAAAACGATGCTCTGGTTGCAGAGTTCCTAGCTGGTCCTTTTGGACCAGCCGAAGTTTGCAGACCTCCTGAGCCACACACAGTGTGGGGTTGTGGCAGTGATCTGTCCGCACAAGGGGTTACAAAACGCTCCCTCCTCCCGACTCTTTCGCACTGACAGCATCCCTCTTAAAAACAAGCATGGAGGAGCCAAGAGCAATAGGCAGAAAACCTGCCATGGCAAGACGTCCTCCTGACAAACAGCCAAGGACAAGGCTGAGAAGAAATAAACAGAATTAAGCCATTCACTGTAAAATATCTCAGCTACCCTAGAAGTGGGGGAGCTTTGGACTGCCATGTTTAACAGCTGAGCATTACATTCCTACAGGCAATCCTAACGCCCTCCATTCCCAACTTTCAGAGACTAGCGCTGGTTCTTATGCAGTGAAAGTGGCACCGTCTGTGCATAAGAAGGAGGTTTTCCATCAGGTTTTGGGGAGCCCCATTTGTGCAGAATGAAAGGAACTCAAGAGTGGGGACTGAAAGCAAAGAGGGTTGCAAAGCCAAGCCCTTTGGGGACCCATGAAAATGATCCGTGGTATTGTGAGGGAGGCTTTGCAACTGAATGCCACATGGAACAGAAGGGCCTGCGTGGCAACGTTTGGTCACAGGTCCCTCTGGACAGACTAAACCCCAGCTCTTTCGGGGCACCCAAGAGAGGTTTCTGGTTGGGCATTGTGCGCTTTCCACATGTACCCACAAACGTCAGATAAAAGCGTCCTGAACGTGTTCAACAGACAGAGGATGCCGAGAAAGCCGTCTGGGCACCGTAACGTGGCAACTATTTAGGAACGGGTGGCCAAGTGTTCAGTTCCACTGAAGCTCATGTGCGTCTCTGTTTCTTTTATTTTAGGAGCTGCCCTTCACCATTTAAGAGAAAAAAAGAAAAGTCAGGTAACTATAGTGCTCCCCCTCGGAGATGCTGGGTTGCCCACGGTGGTCCCTGAGGGATGGGAAGCTTGTCTGGAGCACCCATGAATGTAGGACCAGCTTTGATACCCCCAGGCCTCTTACCCGGCTCTCGCCTCTCTCCCTGAACTGAGACCACCGCCATCATTCTGGCCAAACACATCGGCCTGAGAGGTGTCGTGGCTCCATACGGTTCTGCCAGGATTCGTAGGCGCAGTCCAGTAAGAACAGCTCTTTCTGAGCATTAAGGACTTCTGGGAGAGGTGTGGGACTGGATGGGGGGCAGCTGCCCCCTGCAAGCATTCATTTATTTATTTTACTGCTGCTGTGGGTGTAAATGGTCTCCTGGGAGGTGTTACTGCCCTCTCAGTTCCCCTGGATCCAAGCCTGCAAGGGGTCACCCAACAGCTTTTGCAAATCCCATTTATTTCGATGGGCCTTCTCTTCCCCCAGGAGGCGGTTGCTGTGGGTCGTTGCTTGTGCAAGGAAAACGAATGGTCTGTGTTCAGCTGGAATAATCTGATCTCTAACCGTCTCCCTGAAAATTGGGCCCCATATTGTCCACTCCCTGAGGCTGGAAAACTGAATGCAAGGGCTCTAAAAGAGGACCTCCGTTGGGAAGGGGGGGACGCTGGAGAGCCCAGAATCCAAGCTATCCTGATGCCTCTCCAACTTCCTCCCTTTCCCAAAAGAAGCCTGAAGAAAATGCAGGGCCGTGAGACCAGGAGAAGATCCTTTCCACCACGCTTCCTCCCCCTCTGCTTTGGATGCAGCAAACCTCCAAGCTCGGGGGCTGCACCTTAATCTAAATCATTTCCTTTTTGCTACAGCAAAGGGAATTCTGCCCTGCTATTAACTAACGGGCCAACCCGTTTGCCTCTTAGCCATGGTTTGCAAAGCAGCTTCAGACCTTAGTTCTGATGGTAAGCACCCAACCCCACTTCATGTCAGTGCAGGCATGACTTGAGGGTAGCCCTTTCCAGTGTACAAAAGGAAGAGATGAAGAAGGCGCTGGGAAGCGTGTGCAAACCTTTCAGCCGGAGTTGCTTCGGAGCTGCACCTTCCGCATGTGCAAAGTGCCAGAGCTCCCTTTGCAGGGACCTGCTCCCTTCCTCTGCCCTCCCACCCTTTTTTCCATGCATGCCATCTTTTTAAATTGGAAGCCTGCGAGCAGGCTGTCCGACCTGGCGTTGGGGCGGCAAAGGGAACTCTCGTTTGCACAGAGCTGAAAACGCTGTTCTGTCCTAATGAAGACGAGGCCAGCAACAACAAACAGCCGCCGTACCTGATATCCCAGGGCTGGCCCAGCCCTGCAGAAACACATTCCCTGGCAAACAGGAAAGTTACACAGGGAAATAAATAGAATGTTCCCAAGTTTTCTCGGAGGGCTTGAAAGAAAGCTCTGTGCTCATGTTCTTTCTGCTAGAAGTTACCATGGACACTGTAGGACGGTGCACCCCAGTGTCCCATGGAAAGCTTTCTGCCGAAGGAACAGGGCGGGGCTTTTGCAAGAGAGAGGTCTGTGCTTAGTTGAAATTCTGCAAACGTTTCACCCGCAGATCGGGGGGTGCCGCAGGATGACTTCGGCCTCAAATAGCCAAATACCAAGGACCTACAAGAGCCTTCTTCTTGCCTTGTTTATGATCCCTTTTCGATTTGGGCAAATGGAAAAAATGTGCCAGTCAGATGCGATCGACTGGAAAAGTGTGCAGAAAATGTGTGTGGGTTACAAAGCTGTACAATTACCTCCTGTCCGGATCTGAGGCAGCTTCAGGGCTCCATCTCCTGGCCAAAGGCCAGAATAGCAGCCCTGATGGTTGCAGGATTGGGCCCACAGCCTACTGCAGCTCTCAGGGCCCTTATGAGCATCAACTGGGAGTCCTGGGGGAAAAACTATAGAAGGAGCCACTCCCTCCCCGCACCCAAAGCTGCCTCAACAATGAAGGTTGCCAGACCTGTTGTGGTGCTTACTGTTGCTATGCGTCTCCTTGGCTGTGAGCCCTGTACTCTGGACCGACTCCTGCTCCCGATTTTGCTTGCGCACCCTGCTGCGAATCTTGGCTTCTGTCCCTGCCTCTCAGCCTTGCTCCTGCTCCAGGGATGATGTCCTCTGCTTGGTTGGCCCTCCTGGCTCTTGACTCCTGGTTTGTGCTCACCTCCTGTTGGCTTGGAATTGGGATTGGGCACTGGTCAGTCCTTGGATTAAGGTGCCTGGGTGTTCATAAGTTTAACCTCCTGCCATGACTTGGACCCCGATGCCCCCATAGACTGAAGTGTCACACAGAGCAATTTTAAAATTGTGCACTTGCAAACTGGCTGCTTGGCTGGAGTTTGTGACCTTTTCAGATCTGTCCTTCTGCTGGGTCATTTGCAAACATCCCGGGAAAACATGTTCTCCTTCACATGCTTGCATTTGGGGTTGTGAACGAGGCTTTTTTTACTGTTTTGTGAGTGCAAGCAACCTTCTGTTATATCCCTCCTGGTGAATCTGCAGGCGCGTTTTGTGGCAGAATTGAGCAGTGGACTTTTGCCATTTATTGCTGTTATCAAATTATAGTATGTGTTTCCCAAAAGGGCAAATGCTATTTGGGGTTGCATTAATAGATGCATCACCTCTAAAACATGCAAAGTATGAGTCCCACCACACCCAGTACTAGTCAGGCCTCACCTGGAGTCCCGTGCCTAATTCTGGGCACCTGCGTTCAAAAAAAATGCAGACAAGCCAGAAACCGTTCAGAGGAGGGCAACAAGGCTGATTCAGGGGCTGGAGGCAAAGCCCTTTGAGCGACAACCGAGAGAACTGGGCATGTCTGGTCTCCGGATGAGAAGCTTGGGTGGGGGAGGGGTTGATAGCCCCCTGTGAGTACCTGAAGGGCTGCCCCAGAGAAGGAGGGCAGGGTCTCTTCTTGTTCATTCCAGAGTGCAGGACATGGAACAACGGACTTAACTTGAAATAAACCAGATTTAGACTAGACACCAAGAAGAATTTCCTCGCTGCCAGAGCAGTAGGACACTGGAACTGATTACCTGGGGGAGCTGCAGGTTCTCCCTCACAGGAGACATTCAAAAAGCATCTGGACAGGATGGTGTGATTCAACGTCCTGCAACAGCAGGGGTCGGACCTGATGGCTTTCTGGCCCCTTCCGACTCTGCTACGTTGCGTGCTCATTCTCCCTTCACAAACACTAATGTGTTTGTATTTGTGAAGTACTTGATCTCAATACAGACACAGAGAACACATGTATGCAGCATGTATTTTCCATCCACCCACTGTTCAGAAAGATGGATGCTGGGCTGGGTCTGGACAAGGAGATTCTGCTCTGGGAAGCCTAATGGAACCTTCACAGTGTCCACATCGCATCAGAGGCTATCCCGAACTCACGGGGTCTAGAAACTTGCTCTTTTTAAATCAAAGCTTAAATTTTAACATTCTGCACAAGCCGTCCTATTATAGTCCAGCCTTGAGTTCCAAGCATTTCTTGAAGATCAGCCATGTTCCTTCCCCAATTATCAACTGTTTCTTCTGCAGGTACAAGAATCCAGAGGCCAGGTACGCAGGGACCAGGAAGCAAAAAGGTAAGCTGCTCTTGAGGAAGCTTCACCAGCAATCACAAGAGGCTGCACTGAGCTTCTAGGGCCATGCATCCTTTTTTAAAAACAGGTGTGGCAGGTCCTTTAAACACGCACACACGCAAGAATTAACATCGGAAACTTTAGCACTTTTTTTGTCCTCTGGAACTGAGCCTCGCATCTCTGCAGTGGCTGGCACTGCCCCTTCCAGAACGGGCTGCCGATCAGAGACGTGCCTTCTCTAACCCCCTCTCTGTCTCTCTGTGAAGGGCGTTGATGTTGCTCCAGTTTATGACGATGTCTCCGACTTCCCAGTCTACGCAACCGTGAGCAAGCCCAAGTCCATGAAGCACAATGATGCCAGTGTTCATTACGCAGACATTCAGGTCTTCAGCAAGAGCCGGGAGCGCTCCGCTGAAGAGGTGCGAAATCTCCAGACCCAGAACGCCACCGAGTATGCCACGCTCAACTTTCCCCGAGCCACCCTGAAGTACGACAGCAAGAACGGGACTCTGGTGTGAGAACGGAACGCCTCTTGCTGTCTTTTGCCTGCAGAAGTACGCTGCAGACGGAGATGCTCTGGAGTTTATTCCTGATGTCAATATCTGAGCTGCCATGGGTGGCAAACCTTTTGAGCACCTTCCCCTGGCTGAAAGGCACTGTCATAACAGGAGCAAAAGTTTTGCCTTGGCTGTGCCAAGAAATGGAGACTCGCTAGTCCATCCTTTACAACAGGAGGATACCGCGGGGGAAGCAAGCCGCGTGACGAAGCAGACACGGCCGGAAATCCGGCAGTAAAGACTACAGGCATTTCTAAGACTTTTCTTCCTTCCTCAAAATCCATTGAGCTGGATTCCATGATTGTGTTAAGGATATACACCAGGTGAAAGCTAGAGGGGGTATATTGTTAAGAAAGTAACATAATTTAATTTTAAAAAGTAAACATGCACTAACATACGCTTAAATGTTACAGCGAGATATTGCAGGACAAATGTACTGAAAACGTTTTCATTCGAAATGCTTTGATCTCAGCGATACAAACCCATCCATATCAAGAGAGTTTTCTGTGCGGAGGAGTGTCCCACGTCCTTTGTTTTTTGGAAAATTCAGGGCACATCTTCTCATCATGGACTATGCTGGTATAAATTCACTTTGTCCAACGTAAGGAATGGATGAGATCTTCTGACACCTTACACATTTTCTCTGATATAAGCACCTTATGCGTAGAGAACACAAATAGAGACAGTGCAGTTCATTGAACAGTGGCAATAGGTTTCTGGATCAGTTCGGTAGGATAGCTTCTGGATCGGAAAGGTGAGCACAGGGCGGCTTTCTCACCTGGTTTTCATGCCGCTAAGCTATCTTGTGAAAGGTTTATTATGAGCTTAAATTCAGGTTTCCCCATCCGAAGCTTGGCTTATTCTTTACTGCAGGTCAAGGATGTGGGGCTTGCCAAGGCCTTTGGGGTCTGAGTGTGTGCTTGTGGGCAGCCTCATCATTTCAAAGAGAGCGGTAAACGGAGCCCTTGGCAGGAAAACACGGGGTTTGCTGTTATTTGCCATTGATAGGAGCTTCAGAAGCTGCCTCAGAGAGAGTCAGATCGTGGGTCCATTTAGGCTAGTATTGCTGATACTGAGTGGCAGCAGCCCCCAGAGCTTCAAGCCTGGGCAAAGAGGTTCTCGCTCTCGGCTGCAGCCCTGCTCTGGCACATTTAATTATGTGACAACTTGCACATCAGACTCGCTCTGCAAAAAAGGATAGTCGTAAGTGCTGCAAGCTTCTCTTTTTGCTTAGTCGCAGAGCGGCAACACAGAGTCCTACAGACCTGCAGGGGCTTCCTTGCCTATTCCTGGAGCTGCCTGCTCCTGCTCCTGCTCTTCCTCACTCTTACAGCCTGTTCACCTGTCCTACCTGAGCATGAAGGGGGAGGAGTCGGAGAGCTGATTCCACAGCAACAGGGAGGTATGGCCCAGGTAAGGCAGTGGGAGGCAGAGCTGTCACTTGGAGCCAGCCTGAAGCACGACCTTTAGTCAGGGCCCTGGACAGAACTGGAGGTGTTGGTCCAGAGGCGAGTGCCTGGATCTCCGAGCCAGTGTTAGCAAGCCTCAACTGCAGCCCTAATTCAAGGCACTTCTGCACTGGCATGGAACAGCTCCCGGGGTTTTGTGCCCAAGAGAGTCAGTCTGAATGCTCTTCTACCTTGAAGTGATGCTTTAGATCAGCTAAGCAGTCTGGTGACTTCTGCAGTTGTCATTTTTCCTAGGGAAAAGATGGGCAACTTTTGGCCTTCTAGTTATTTATCTGTAACTTAAAACTTAGCCAACAGTGTTGATAATAAGGCCCAGACAGCTCAAGACTCATGGGTTGCCCGATTCGGTCGTCTCCTCGGCTCTAGGAACCTACCTCTAAAGGCTCTCGGTTTGGGGACCTTCCACTCTCCTTCTGCACAGTGCGGTGAAGGCAGCACACAGACGGATGCTGGCGAAGAGGACCAGGTCTCCCTCGTAACACCTCAGGCAGGGCTGGTGAGGGCAGCTTCTCCCAAGTACCTCCACACCCTGAAGCTGAGGTTGGCCAAGGAATGATGGGGTCATCCACAAACAAAGGAAATGGGGACCTCTCTGGACAGAGCCCCCTATTGCTGACCTCAGCAACCCTGGAGGGGTCCTGTCTTTGTGATGGATGAAATCGGACGCTCTCTCAAAAAAGATTTATGGCGGGGCATAGCAATGAATGAAACCTCACACTGTCCTGTTCTGGGCTTGGCTGTGCACTGTCGGAGAACTGCACTACGCTGACATAAATAAATAGCTTCTTTTAAAACTGGCAAAACAAGAAGTGGAACATGGGAAATTTGTTTTCCAGCCATGTCATTTGACGCAAGGGGGTAAACAGGGCCTTGGACATTTTTTATATCCTGCACCCGAAGCAGCAGGAATAAAAACTGTCTGCAAATGAGCTATGAGAAAGCTGGGACCTGCGTTTTATTTCCAGTTGCCCTAGAGAACGCTAAGCTTGCAGATGGATGTAACATAATGTGCCTGATATTAGGGGAACCATGTATGTAACGAAATAATCAAATTTTTTGTACAGAAAGGAAAATAACACAGTGATTTTGCCTTTTCAAGAGGTGTTAAATAGATAAAATGTGAACATTTAATGTGTTTTGGAACAATTTATCTAAAAGATGCTTTTGTATTTTTGCACTGATTTTTATACTCTTCTGCTTCTGAGTTTCTGATGCCTATGGTTTCTAGAACTAGAATGAGGCCATAGTAAAAATGGCGGATTTGTGGTTCTTTTGCTTAGGCTGTGGGTCACAATTCTGACAACCTCAAACTATGCTTTCAAGATACCTTATTTCTAGTCTTCAAAGTAGCAGAAGGAATATTTGGTCTTGTTATTGTAACAAGAGTGCTTTGGTTAATGATGCAGCTGGTAAGAATATATTTAATTGATTCCTTAGTGAAAATGAGTTGCTATCAGTGGTATGAAAGCTGGAGATATTATTGAAGGATGAAAGTTTCCCATCTTAGAACAAACTGTTCAATATGCTTAAATATTTTTAGCAATATAGTATATTCTTGGTAAATGCTGCTTCTGTAGCTGGAATTAACTGCCCTGCTCTGCCATCAAAACTGAAAAACAGATACCTGTGACTGGAGTTGTTGTACAAACCATAACAACTCAGTATGGTGGTGTGTTTATTGGCACTGGGTTGCAACAAGATCTCAGCTACTCCTCATCCTCAAAACATTTTGAGAGCATTTCCCATTTTGGAAATTGCACAAATGGCATCACGGAGGAAGTGCAAGATGTTCCTCACTTGAGGATTAGCACCGCTGAAATTATGTTAATTGCATGTTCATGTAAACTTGCAGATCAGCTGTCACTTTTCGCTCCGGAGAGTGACCTTGGTGCTTCACAGGGCTGTGTGCATCTCATGTCAAATGATCTTTCAATATCAGGTCCTTCAGCGGATTCATTGAAGCTGGCTGGCCCTGTGAAGCCTTACATGCATAGTCCCCAGAATGACTCAAAGCAGCGACGGCAATGGCACAAGGCATGTTTCGTTGGTACTCCGAGCTCCAAGAATGAGTGTAGGTGTAATGGTTTTCCGACACCCCAGAATGTCATCTTCTGAGTCTAATGCTTCTTTTCAGTCCACGACTTTCTGGATTATGTTTACTTTGAATAGTAAATGCGAGTTGAGCTTCTAAGGTCCTCAATGGGCACGACTTTAACGAGATGTGCTGCAGCATTTCCATCCTGGTTTATACGGGGAAAATGTAGAACTGAGTAGTTGTTACTCTGTTAAATATTGTATGAAGGAAAACTATTCCTGTTTCTTTTCAGCAATTGCAAAGCTGAAAGACAGAGAAATCTGTATTTAACCTGCACTGTTCTTATGTTGTTATAATGATTTGTATAATGCAAAGTATATCAAAGAGTTATACACATAGAAAGGTTAGGGAAGGCCTCTGTGGAAATTGTCCCGGGATTGGTTCCCTCTCTCAGTATTTAATTATTAATTAATTAATTAATTAATTAATTATGTCTGGGTTCCTGGGTTTAGGGGCTGCATATTTTATTACTGGAAATAAATATTTTTATAGCAGACATTAGAGGTTATGCTGGTTTCTGACTGCTTTTTGTGAAAATATGTCCCAGCCTCATGGTATACGGGTTCATTTGATACCTTGTTGTAGTGGAGGCGTGCTGGCTATTTGGTTGGAAGCTTCCAAGTGCTGAGTCCCAAAATGCATTCTGAATGCAAGGGCTCAGCCGGATTCTCCTGTGCAAAGCAGGGCCTGGGGCCACCCAGATCTTGGATCGAGGCCCCTCCGTCATCAGCACCCTCCCAGGTCCCCTACCTGGCCAGGCCAATTAGGATCAAAGGCCTGGAGACCTTCGGCGCACCCCACAAACCACCCGGAGCCTATAAAGTTCCACAGAACAGAATCGCCCCAGTTTACGCCTCGGCCTGGACACACTGGGACCGGACGACACTCCCTCTTCGGCCACATCACCTGGGGGCTGCCTGGGTAGGTGCCAAGCCCTGCCTCGGGGGCGGATGGATGGAGGCGGCGGCGGCGGCAACCCCACACACCCTCCGAGGTCGACGAGTGCGCAAGGCGAGAGCGCGCGCGCAGACGCGCTCCGCCAAGGCGCGCCCCCGGAGCAGGGCGCACCTGCGGCAGGTGCCTCGCCCGCGCTCGCGCCCCTCCCCTCCCC